AAGAATAATGATATCTAGTACCACTGATACTTCCACACCAGTCTAGGTAACGTTAAGTGATAGACTCAATAAAAAGTAGAATTAAGTGATTTAACTATACTTCTCAGGTAATCCCACATCAGTGCCACTAGGGATGGCAACGGGTCAGTCATTCTCACCCCCATCTTATCGAGTATTTTTGTTACATTACCTCATCTTCATACCAGTTTAAAGTGGGACGAGGCTGGTTCGGGGTGAGATAGAGGCGGGTTCGGGACGAGTCCTTTGCCCCATTTATCATCCCATTTATTTTTTTATTTTTTTATTTTTTTTATGTCTTTACTTAGTAAATATTATTACTTTTTTATTAATTTATTAGAAACAACTTATGTTCTCTTTAAAAATATGATAAATTTATTATTTTTGTTTGATAAAAAATTTAAATTTAAAATTAACTTTAAACGGGACGGGTAGCGGGGCGGGGAATATGATTCTCGTACCCACCCCGTACCTGCTTCGGGAAAATGACCATCGCCCCGTCCTCGCCCCATTTAGGCAGGTAATCTCTGCCCCATTCGGGGCGGGGCCTCACGGGTTTCGAGTTGAACGGGTTTTTTTACCATCTCTAAGTGCCACTTAAATTAGTATTTTAACATCAGTGATCACTGCTAAATAACATTACTCACTAAGAAATTATTGTCAAACATATGCTTCGTCCCAAAAAAAGGTAATTGGCACAGTAGAGGTCTAGCGAAACAATCATTAAGATGGGGAATGGGCAGTGGATGGCACTCTGATAATTAAGTCGAGATGCATTTAGGAATACTTATATGGATAATGCTAAATGTACACTCCTTGATGTACATTTAGTTTGACAGCCCCCTCACATGGGGTGGGGCCCGCGTGGGACCCGCAATTGTGGACTACATCCCCATGTGAGGGGGCTGTCATCGATTATGTACATCAAAGTGTACATCAAGCATGGTCCTACTTATATTCATCACCAGCCTAGTCTATCTATGTACGGATGATGTTTGAGCAAAATAATTTTTGGTAGTGTCTCTAATCTCTATCAATTTAGTAAGTAGAAATTACAGGGAGGGCTGTGTTTGGAGACATGTAGAGTTTTTTCCTTCAAAAATCTGATGATAATTTATCGGTTAAATATTAATTAATCAAATTAAAATACGCCCGCCCGCCCGCAACCAACCCCAACCCCATTTTACCCCCAAGCCTAATTTCATTTCACACGTCTCCACTCCATCTCTCTCTCTCTCTCTCTCTCTCTCTCTCGACCGACCGAAATCTTCCCACCCTCTCCTCACACTCTCTATTTCTCCCCACCATTTTTCTACCGATGGTGCCGCTGCAAGATGAGGCAGCATCACGAGGCATCGCCGCCATGTTGACCTTAATTGTTTTTTCCTGACCAGATTTGTTGTGTAGATGGTGATGGTGTAGGTGGTGATTTGGTGGTGGTGGTCGAGGTTGTGGTAGATTTAGGGTTTTAGGTATTGGGGTGAATTAGAATTTGGAACTAGAGTTTTGATGGTGATGGGTGGTGGTGATGATTGTGCAGGTTGGGTAGAGTGGAGTGGTAGGACGGTGCTACTGATCATATTTTAATTTGCACAGGTCAGAACTACTAGGTCACATGTTACGCGTCATATACAATCACAAATCAGTGTAAGCGGATTAAAGATCTATTTTAATTGCTCTAATCTAGTCACAAATCAAACGTAACATATCTTTATGCAATGATAACAAGTCACAAATTCAAATGTACATGCCACAATACATATATCACGAGTCATAAACAACAATTATCAAATCGCGGGTCATATTTTATATGTAACGGATCATTGTCAATTGGTCACAAACTCGAATTGGTTATAGACCATTGGATCAATATCTCAGGTAAATATATAGTCAACGGTTGAAGAACCGACAACCATTACGGAATTCCGGCAACATCACCATTTGCACAACACCAACAACCAAAAAAAAAAAAAATCACCCCAAAATTTCGACGTCATCGCCGGAATCATTGTTGGAGCTATTTGTCACGGACCGCATGGTAGTGACACGAG